CCGCTGCCACCACTCCTCTGGATGTCTGCAAGACCCTGCTCAACACGCAGGAGAACGTGGCCCTGAGCTCGGTGAACATCAGCGGGCATCTCTCGGGCATGGTGAACGCCTTCAAGACTGTCTATCAGCTGGGGGGTGTTTCGGGGTATTTCAGGGGGGTGCAGGCCCGTGTCATTTACCAGATGCCTTCCACAGCCATCGCCTGGTCGGTGTATGAATTCTTCAAGTACTTTCTCACAAAGCACAAGCTGGAAAAAAGAACATCCTTGTGAAGGACTTACCGAGAGTGAACGCGGTCCGTGCCCGTGTGTGCCTGCAAGCCAGCCAGCGCTGGGTCCCCGCTGAGGGAGCGTGCCAGGTTTCTTCTGGATTCACGGCTGATGTCCACTTCTCCCTCCCTAGGGAATGAGGGATTAAAGTGGTCCTCAGTCACGTATTCCCCTCCTTGCTTAAGCAATGAAATAGTTTATAAAGACTTAAAATAATATATATATTTAATAACTTTATTTTGGAGAAGTGAAATTGCTAGCTGATATTTTTTCTGACTAAGTGTGAAGATGTAGTTTATTCCTCACTGAAGGCTTAGGTTATAAAACCTAGGCTGGGTTTTTTTTACAGCAAAGAAGCAAAATACCCTTGCAGAACTTATTTTTTATGTAAATATAAAATAGATGGATAATGTTTATCCTTTATTTTTCTATGTAGGCATTTGGGTTGGTTTTTAAATACTACTACAGCTAGATGCTAAGCTGTTTAAAAAGGGCTGAATTCTTCCATCCTGTGTAAGGAAGACACAAAAGCATTTATTTTTTATAGCCAGATTGGCTTTTATTGTACAGCATTTAGCCCCCAAACAGTGGCCTGGATTGTCGTGTGGGTGTCAGGGTGTTTTAGCCCCTTGAGACTTGCTGTGATACGAGGAGAAGGAATGGGGACACCACTTTGGGAAACTGTAGGATGCTGAGGAGGGGCACCCCAAAATACCTGGTCACTTTGTGGGGGAGAAGGGGAAAACTATCAATTCCATTTTTTACAGGGAGACTCTTATAAAAGATGTAGATTTTTAAAGAATAGTATTTTTTTGCAAACACTTTTTTTAAGGTACGTTTTTATGGTATGTGATACCTGAACAGCCTTCATCCTCTGTTAATTTATTCATACTTCTTGTCCATTACGGCCCTGATCCTGCTTACAGGAGCAGCCGTGCACATCTCGATAGCTGGTGGGATCTGAGTGGGATGCACGGAGCTGCTCTGCTCCCAGGGGGGCCACCTGGAGCTTCTGTTTACAGTCCGGCTACCGAGTCGCAGGGGTCTCATCCTGGCAGCACCAAACCAGCAGCTGGCAAAACCTTGGGAAAGTCTTCCCTGCAGAACCGAAGCCACCTCGCAGCTCGTGTTGGGCAATTAGCTGCTGCCCATCTCGGTTGGGGAGGGAACAAAACCAACCTAGAGAGGCTCCTCATGCTGTGGGTTTGGTTTCGGTGCTGCGGGATGCTGAGCCCTGCTCCTCCCAGGAGTGGCTTTTTCAGACCAAAATGAATCCTTTAGCTAGTTACTTGGGTGATCAGTAGCTAATGAGGGGGTTTAGGATGTGCAAAAACTAAGTTGCAGGACACCAACTGGCTCCATCCTCCCTGGAGCTTGCCCTGCCAGAAGCAGCTGATGTCTGGAGCTGGTACCGTCTCCTTACTGCTGAGCATGGGGCTCCAGCTTTTGGGCTGGCACATGTCACTGGAGGTGTTCCGTCAGCCAGGCGTGTTGTGTAGGATGACACTAAGAGCTGATCCTCCTGCTCTGTTTTTTTGGAGAAGGTAAAGCGAGGAGCACCTTTCAGGGTGGTGTTGCATGTGCCTTGTGTAAATTAAGATTGTACTATTGATAATGGGGAAATGAGCTTCTTGATGCCTTTTTGTCACTTAAACTGAATGAATCACTGTGCCAAATGCTCCCTGTGTCTTAAAGTGTAAGAATTGTAAGCCTGAGGCTGCTGGTCTTGGTGGTGCAGCTGGAGAAGGCCCTCTGCACGTGGGGAGGGGTCTCAAGGGTGGGGGTCTTCAAGCTGTGTGTTGGCCTTGGATGCCTTTTTTCCTATTGACTTTAGCCAGGACTGCACAAAACACTCCACCAGAGATGGGCATAAACACTTAGATGAAAATTTTGGGTCACTTTAACGTTGAAGAGGCAGACTTGGAGCATAATGTGGAAGATGACAGCACTGTGTGGCTTCGGTAGCTGGGACTCACGCTTGGCACGCGGTCCCCAGTGCATCATCCTCTTCCTCTGCTCGCTTAGCTTGAATGTTTGACTTCACCTTGGCTATTCTGGGAGAACTTTACCTCCTGTTTGGAGTAACCTGTGAGTAGCTGGGACATGAAGAACAGATTGGCCCCGGGGACAGAGCCTGTGGCTGTGGAATGATTGGGCGATTGGGGTTTTGGCCAGCTGAGCATCGTGCTTGGAGGGGGAGGTAGCATCCCGTTGTAGCTGCTAGCCAGAAAAACACGAGCGTGTCCCGAGCGTTGAGCATTTAAATAATTAACAACCAGGTTTGGGAATGTGCTCTGCCTCGAGCTGGGAGTGGGTGAGGAGCGTCTGTATAGAGCTCTCTATGGTATCCTCAGGTATCCGATGAAACCTGGGGATAATGTTCTGCAGCTGGGAATGTGCCCGGTTGGTTAGACAGTTGCGGCAGTCTCTGAAATGCTTCCTGCTGTGCCTAGTGCTGCGTCCCCAGGTGAAAGCCCCGGTGCCAAAACCGTGGCTCCTTGTCCCTCTGAGGTTTGCATTCGGAAGCTTTGCTGCAAGTCTGGAAGTTTTATTTTAACCTGGGGTGTGCAACCCATGCGGCTTCTTTGTCTGCAACGAACACACGTGGTATTTGAGGGGGAGGATGGGTGACTTTGGCCGCAGTTATTTTTATTTTTTGTTCTTGCCTGCCTTGGAATTTAATGTGTTTCCTTAACTGTGTATTTAACAATGCAGGAGTTCGTTTGGGAGATGCTGCTACAGTTGTACCACTGGAGCTCAAGGAAATAAAACAGTCTGATTTTTTTGTCCTTCTAGGCTCACGCTTGTGGCTTTCCTTCGCTGCGTAGTTGGGTGTCCAGCTCCGACCGGGGCTGGGCAGCGGGAGGGTGCCTGGCTCTGCCCTGCTCGGTGCCAGCCAGGCAGGCTGGTCTCTGGGAGAATGGTGCCTTCTAGTGTTGCCTGGATGCTTGGCAGGCTCAGCACCACACCGTCTGAGCCAGATGAAGCCCTTCGTCATCACACTGGAGGAAGAAAATCCTGGGAGGGGTTTAGCAGCCTGGCAGGAGCTGACATCTCTATCATGGGCTCGCACTCCTCTAGGAGCCGCTCAAGAGTTTTGAAACAAATTCCTCTTGGCAGTGAGGCTTCTGAGGTTTGCAAAGCAAACCCACAGGCTGGCTCGTTCAGCAGCCAAGTGAATTCCCCAAGTGGAATTTTCTTCCCACCTGGAAGGAAAGTGCAGGGGTTGAAGGTCCCGGGGGAGCTGTGTTTTTGCTGAGCTTTCAAAGAAGCTTCCATTTAAAGTGCCTAATTTGAAGGGGAAAAACCCACAACGTGCGAAGCTGCTTTAGATCTTGCCTTCCCTTTCAGTGAAGAGGAAAAGACCAGTTCACTGGTAGAGTTTCCGCATGGCACTGGTGCTGGAGAAGGAATGCTTCCCTTAAAGCTGGGCTCAGCAGCATCAGGTTAACCGGGGCTGTCCCAAAGCAGAGGAGACCCTGGGGCTTGGCCCAAGTGGGCTGTGAGGGGGGAAAAAAGCTTAACCCAAACCTTTTCATCAGGAATTCTCCAGCTCGGAGCAACTGTTGGCTCTAGGTGGAAAATGTGGGGGGGTTGGTTTGCAGCTTCAGGTCTGGTGCAGGTGCCTTTGCTCCGGTCTGGCCGGGATGATAAACCAACTGTCTTGGGGTTTGGTTTTTTTTTTTTTAGGTCAGAGTTTGTGTCCAGAGTCTGCCCTATCTTATTCCTAAATTTGAATCTTTCCAACATTGTCGGGAGGATCTGGGATTCCTGCAGTTCCTTCTCACCTCTAATAAACCTGGCAGGACCACAGTCCTTGTCTGGGATCTGGCATGAAAACCAGGTTGTCCTGAAATAACATTTCAGCTTACCAAGCGCTCGGCATCTCTGATTAGAGTCTGAAACTCCTTGGTGTAAATCTCCAGCCCTAAAAACCTGGAGGTGAGTGTAAAGGACTACTTTGGGAGCAGCCTTGTGTAATTTTGACAAGGGGATGCGGCACAATCCATTTCCTACCAGTTTTGTTTTGGAAATGATGGGTTTGGAATAGATGTTGGTCCCCAGGGCATGCACCTTCCAGAGATACAGGAGGATCTGATTTTGTTGTGTTCCCAGTGCAGCAATTGATGCACCTAAAATCCTAAAGACGAGCTTTTGTTGGGATGCGGCTGGGAATGGCAAGGACAGTTACAGGGTTTAGCGGCAAACCACCTACCCGGGAGTCAAGGCTGGCCGCAAAGGGCAGCAACAGCAGCAAGATGCTCTTTCCTCGGCCCACCCCAAAGGAGGAAGGACTTTCCTTTTCCCACCCACTCTGCCTTTTTTTTCTGGGGGTTGTTTTTACTGTCACTGAGAACCCCGGGAGGTGTGAGGGACCGACGGGTCGGGGTGGGGAGCAGGCTGCCTCGCCTGGCTGATGAGCTGGAGAGACAAGATCAGGAGATAAAGTACTATTGATGCTCAGCAACATGTTTCTGATAGGTTTGTATTTCTGTTTGCATTGTAGAGTAAATATTTACCCTCCTCTCCTCCCCTGTAGTAACTGTGTGTAGTCCTGAAAGGAGAGGTATGTAACACACCATGCACGCCCCTTAAGCACTAACCACTGGTTTATGCACGGCTGGTGAGGGTCCCTACATTTCTCTTTATTGTAGTCGCCATTCAGCTCCACCTTATTCCCAGTAATTCCCCAGAAAGTGAGAAATGGCCCTAATGTGCGTCTGCACAGGAGGGAAGTTCTGTGCTTGGCTGGTGTGTGGTTACGGACACACAAATCACGTGGTTGAACTTGCAGCTAAATTGCTGACATCTATCCCTATCCATCCATGTCTTCTCCGTTAGACCCCAGGGGATTTCTATCCCTGAATTACTCATGGCTGTCAAAGATCTGGATTTTAAGTCAACTGAAGGAAAGGAAAATCACCCAGGAAAACAAAAAAACTCAGGAAAGAGACTCTGTGCCCTGGCAAGATGTGCTGGGAGAACCTTCACTCGTCTGTCTGAGAGGGAGACGTGGCTTCAGGCCTTTGGCCCGACATCCCTGAGGTCTTCAGGCTGCTCTCCCTCCATTTGCCCGGTGAGTAATTTAAACTTTTCTTGTGTTTTCCCTGCTTTGGGTTTGTCAAAAA